GCTTTGTCACGCGTTACGTCCGTTCTGACTAAACACGAATCGGAACAGTTGAAAACCGGCTCAGTAAAATAGCCTTAAGGATTGTTTTGAGAAGTATCAGTTAGTACGCCAACGATGGTCTGGCTTTCGTGACGGTAACGGGACACCGGGTGACTGGTGACCCATTAATGAAGTTGCTTTGTCACTTGAGGTCACCTTATTCATGTCATAGTCAAATCGAGTGCCTTTGGTTAGTAGAGTACTCATTCATGTACTCGAAATTGAAAGGGATTTAAAATGGTTCGTTGAGTGACTGGAATATACTCGTAAAATTGCCTAGAAGTGATTTAAGAGTAACTGATAGGTTCTAGTTTTGATGTGAAGACTCGAAAACACATTCCGGTGACTAGACCCTGACTCGGACTCCAGCGAGTTCTATCTAGTCAAAAACCACATCCTCAAGGCAGTCGATAGTCAGTTGAGGGTACTTAATCCTTATGATTTGTATTTGTGACTACGTCTATCTGCTGACTTCATTTTTACCACACGATGCGTTGACGAGGTCCTTATCTCTCAGTATTTACCTGAGTTGCTTATGTAACGTAGTCAACCAAAAAGCTATTCTAATTTCTATTCTATTTTACTGTGCATGTCACGCGCAGGGTCGGGCTGGGCGCGTGACGCACCCACCGTCGAGCGCTCAGCGCTCAACCGTCGCTCTTGGCAACCACCACTATGTCCTTGGTCGCATTCTTTATTCCCCAATTTTCATTCCAACCATCATGAAGGACGCCTTTCCTCCGGAAATATGGCTATACATCGCCCAGTTCATACCTGATAATATCATATATATCAAGCTTCGTTCGGTCAACAGTGTTCTCTTCGACCTCGCCTTGGATATAAAATATCGGAACGTAGTCATCGAATGGGATGATGGGTCCTCCACTGTATCGCAGACTATCAACAGACTAAGGTAACGGTAAGCCAGGTTTTTTAACCCAACTTGGCTAAACTTTTCCGTGGCTTCAACAGCGATCCTTTCGTGGCGAAGAGGGTCAAGAACCTAACAGTCGTCTTCAACATATTTTCTACACGGCTCGTTTATCCATCATTACCGCCGCCCATGGCTACGAAAAAGACATCGAAGCCAATAATGAGGAAATTTTCTGACTGGATGTCTTCTCTGAGAAGCCAACCTCGAAATGTCCAGCCTGCCACTGAACCCCTGCCCACCAAAGAAGACATAGTCGACATTTCGTTGAAGGAAATGGCACACTGTATAGGAACTCTTAATCGTGTCACGGCCTTGCGTTTTAAAATGGACGGGATAGACTGTCTAAAATTTGCACCTCATTTGGGACTTGCTTGGTCTTCGTTTAGCGCGAACCTACAATCCCTCTCTATCCAGACAGATCTAGCAATGTATCAAAAAATTCTGCTCCAAAAACCCCATTTTCCAAATCTGACCGCCCTCGAAGTCATACTCACCGTCAATTATGTGCCAGGCCGTAGCGGACGCAATTATAATTCGACTCCTTTGGCCCATCTCATCAACAGCATCAGCCCGCGGCTCAATGAGCTTTGTTTCATGCTCGCAGGGCACCGAGAACACCCTTATGTCTTCCCATTTCTATCGAATACGCTCCCGTTAGAAAAACTACAGGTCAAGGCGGGTTGGATTCATTCGCAGGATGATGTTGACAGCCTCGTAAATTTTCTTTGCGACGGTACCCACTTTCTTCGCGAGCTCGATGCGGACATCGATTCGAGGACGTTGGAGCTCTTGAAATCTACGATAGGCGCAAACAGTTTATCTCGATTGCAAATTCTCAAAATCAACCCCACGTGCAGCCCCGATTCGATAGATGTCTTGTGCGCCTTCATAAAATGCGCGTCGGACACGCTGGAACAGCTGGTCATTTACGATGTTGAGCTTACTCAAGAGGAAGCGCTGTTTCTCGTCAACAAGCTATCCAACTGCTCAAAGTTGAGCACTCTGGGTTTACGGATCGTCATATTAGATGCAGCATTTGTCAATAACATGGCGACAAAACTCTCTGGACTGAAAAGCCTTGATCTTTGGTATGATGCACAAAGAACGCCAGTAACCAGGTGACGATTATCTGTTTTCTATGAGAAATGCACCCTTACTCATTACGTTTGTTATACAGCTTGATTGATCTCGAGGAGGTTCTACGAAAACAATCACATTCACAATGGAATTTGGAGGACGTTGCCATATTCCACTCTTATTTGCCAATGGAAGCCAATTATCGAATGATGAACGCATTCGCCCAAAGTGTGCCTTCTATTAAGAGCTTCTGTAGTTTGGGACATATGGACGGGAAGGCTGGCTGGCGGAGTTTTTAATCCAGAGACGTTCCATGTTGGGACTCTATATCAATTCATTTATCCATAACTTACGGTCCTTGTATTAGTTGACGGTTGTACGTAGATATTTTGTGTTCTATGGCCCATCAGTGTCGACATTTTAAGAAAAAAGAAAGCAAGTCAGAATGAACGGGGTCTTTCAGGCAACATACCGACAATCACGTGAACGGAAGTAAATTCCCAATCGAGAAATCTTTAAGCGACCTAGAATATGCTTCAACATCCAACGTAGCCACTTGACGGGCTACTTGCTGTGCCCGCGTCCACACATCCGTGGGTTGCTCTCAACCATCATCAACAGAAGCCGTCGTGAATATCGATAACCCAGGCGCCAACGTTTCTGCGCCGCTTCGTGATTGATATCACCTCTTGTGGTCGTCCATTCAAGACGTTATTGGAAATAGCAAATCGTGACTTTATCGACTACACAAAGTCTCACCCTCCTCGCCTACTATATATTGGCTGAGCAATGATCGCTAAGTTCCATTCTGCACCTGGCCACTCTATGGAAACCACTTTGACGATTAGTCTACCTCCCCCGCAAAGCGTAAGGGCAGCGAGAGGCGAATTGCCACGGAAGGAGAAGGAAGCGGACAAAGAGAGACCTGACAAGAAGAGAAAGCGGGAAGAGGAAAGAGAGCGGGACAAAGAGCGTGACCAGGAAGTACGAGAGCATGAAAGAGTACGGGAAAAGCAGTTCAAGGAACACGAAAAGGATCGTTCAAGCAAGGTATGTGTTCATTTCTTGGATCTGCCTACTGGGTGTGTGAATTGACCCAATTTCAGATGCATTCTGGCGGAAATGTTTCGTACAAGGACAAGTATGCAGCTTTTGAAGCGTCTTCGCGAGATTGTATTGAACATTTGGCAGATTCCAACGAATGAGGGAGAAATATGATAAAGTCAATATGGTGCGTCATTTCTTATGACTTCAATCCGGAATACGTCTTAACCTTTCCTTAACTTCTTCTATACTTCACTCTACCCCACTAATGCCCGACTGGACCTTGAAACCTCCAAACGCGATCAACTATTACTTTTGCCGTAAATTGGACTTTCTAGTCTCATGAAGCCCATCAACGTGATCTCGAAGCCCTAAACGCGAAAATGAAGAAACTGCAAGCTGAAAATGAGTGCGTCTCAATGGTTCATACTTTATGTTTGCGAGAAGATAACATTTCGCTGTCCTCGCAGCCTTCTACTTGATGCTATGTACCTAGCGGATACAGCGCTCTATGATCGATTCTTCCCCGCTGCACCTGGATCTATGTCTTCCTCCCTGCCACCAGCCTCCGTTCCCCCACTTCCATATACAAACCAACCGCATCTAGGTCCTCCGCATGCATATTACCCTGAACTCCATACACCCTCAACACCATATCCGTCCTCCTCACACTATACAACCATGCCACCTCCAGGGTCCATGCCGCCTCCACTATCGTCCACCTCCGGTACTTCTGGACCTCCCGGATCGGCTCATTCGCCGATACCACAAGCCCCTCACCACATGCATTCACCTTCTATGGCGATGCCCCCGCCGTCTTCGGCTAGCACGAATGGTACTGTTACTGGAAATGGGAATGCAAGTTCGTCACGGAGGCCATCCAATGCCTCTTCTCGGTCGCGAAGGAGAAGCGATGCTCGAGGTGGTGTCTCTTCGTCAGCAGGAGTCCCTCTCGCTCCTGAAGATCTTACGCCGCCTAACGGCGGGCGGACACCACATCGCGAATTTTCTACACCTGCCGCGTCCAGCGGAATGGACGTAGAGGACATGCCTCTTAGGAGCCCCCGAGTCAACGGAAGCTACAACTCTGTCGCTTCCGCCCATGAGAGGGCTGGTTTATCGGGCGGTGCTACCCCAAATCCTATGCCCAATGGCACGAGCCCAAGTCTTGCCTCGAGACGCCGCCCCGAGGTTAGCGTGTTTATGCACTATCTATGATAAGACTATGTTTCTGATACGCGTCGACCCTTTTCTTCTATTACTCTTTAGGTCCCTTTCTCTGTCCCACCAAGGGACGATGATCTGCCTGAGCGCGAGGCCCACCCGCGCGAGCAGCCACCGTCTGTCGATGACGACCCTGCATACAACATGACGGCGTACGCAACTGTGAACTCCCCAGACGAGCCTGATGAGGAGGAGGGGAAGATGGAGGTCGATGCATAAGGGCTTCACGGGGGAACATCGGCAACGCCCGCCTATATATATCCTCCACTGCTATACTTACTTGCGACATTTTGGGCGTGGAGACTGTAATAGACCAAGCGTAGGTTGGACAAAAAATTGTATTGGTAGTGGGCGTAACTTTATTCAGCCGATTTATTTACGCGTGGGTGTGTTTTCGGTTCATTTCGTAGCTCTTGCGTGAATTCAAACCTTGTCAGACGGTGGGAACTGTCTGAATCACAGTGATCGCTTGCCACTCTGCACTCCCGTTTAACCTGCTTTTGAAGTTTGGAGGTCGAAGTCCCTAGGACACCTAACTGACTCTTATGTGACCCGAGCGCAACCATGGTCACAGCTTGAGTCTGAGTCTGTCCGACGCGCCGCATGCGCGTCCGGCTCGAAGCCCTTCGCGGATTCCCTTTGCGCAGACTCCACATGATCTGGAGCAAAAAAAATATCAATTAGCCCACCGCGAGGGTCGAACTCGCAGCCTTCAGATCGTCCCGCCTATGTAAGAGTCTGACGCTCTATCCGATTGAGCTAGGCGGGCTGTGATAACCTTTTTTGCTGAAGCATCCCGCACCGGCAGGAGAAATTGGAACAGAGGGTTCCCCAGAATCCGAAGTGCTTCGCATTGCGAATGAGGATGTAATTGTATTTTGTCGCTAAAGAGACACAATGTATTCCTAGATCAAAACCTCATCTTGACTTCGGTCCGTAGATCATTCTTGCTTCTGAACTGTCTAGCCATTTCAATCATGGGCACCCAGTGGACATTCTCGTGCGTGTTGACCCATTCTATGAACCGTTCCTAAAATCAAAGTTCAAACATGCTTTAGCTGTCGATATTGATTAGAAAGGCTCACGAGCATCAGGAGAACGTGAGGTCGCCTAAAATAAATTATTGTCAGATTGCTGAGAGCTGCCTAGAAAAGAGGTGAAATAGCCTACCCGCTCACGTCTGGGTGTATGGATAGCGGAAATATAAATTCTTCTTCTTCGCTTTGGGATGCAAAATTAGCTGTCCTTACTCAATATGGCAAGGCTGTGAGATACCTGTAGCAGTATGAAAAGGTGTCTTTCCAGAGCTGTTCGACGACTCTCGTATCAACCTGAAGTACTGGATTAGCTCACCGGATAATCCACCTTTTCAAATATCGATACTCACCCAGCCATGGGAGTTTGGACTGGCTTTCATGAACCTGTAAACGAAGTTGACCATATTGACCTCTCAGGATAGAATCAAATCTGGTTACATCATGGGTGTCATGTCTTCCAGATACCAATTAGCAGGAATGCAGACAAGACCCGTCTCGTTCCCTCTTATCAGAGGCTTCATCCACGTCTCCGCCTTTGCGTTGTAATCGATCTTAGTCCAGGAATCGGCATCACGCATGTAGTAGGCTTGGGAACTGTTCACCGTTGCAAACGATTGCCATCAAGTGCCCGTAATTTGGATGGCGAAAATCAAACCTACTCGTGGGCCATGCTAGAATGGTCTTTTGGATTAAAGATTAATGGGACGTTTCTATAATACGAGTGGAGAGACACACCGTATTCGATACCTTTGTCCAAGAGCATCATAGTCCCTTCTTTGCTGGTTTCCCACCATGGCGCGACATTACCCTATGCAACGAACGGTTTCGGCCTCAAGAACAACTAGATGTCGTCTAGAGAGAGAATATACCTTTGGAGGGATTCCATGATTGAATTCTGTCAAGAGCTTGTGAGTGTAGTCCAGCACATCCTTTTGCTGTTCAGGTGACATCGCTGTTGGATTCTGATGATATAAAAAATTACCTGAACAAATTAACAGCGGTAGAATAACATACTTCATGTGAATATCCATGAAGGCCGCTTTTTTATCCGTTTATTTTATTTATTAAATCGCCTTGAGAGCCAATACACTCACATCTCATGTCCCGCATCCCTTACCATCTTCATTTCCTCTGGAAATGTTTCCAAACTGTGTCCTTTATCAGAAATTAAGCTCATACCTCCAACATAAGCTTAATCAATAATTACCTGGAATAAACCACGTCGCCTGAATGTTATACTTCTTGAACAACTTCAACAGCCGCGGTACGCCGACTTCTCCAGCATACATTCCCTATGATCGACGAAGTGATAGGTCAGCCAGCCCTAAAGCCCGACGCAAGTGCTCACCCTTGATATATCCAATGGAGAATCCTCTCCTCCATATGATCCTAGCCTGTGAAACAGTGTGAATGCAGAGATATTTGCCGTTAGTCTTTGACATTTCGAGGAGAAATCAGAGCGCACCATCCTGCGACGGCGTCTACGTCCACACCGAATCCGATTAGAACATTTTTGGCAGGCGTGATTTCAATGTCGCGACTGGTGAGATGAGCCTGCGCAACAAGAACTACGCATCGATGACAAGTGAATTCATGGTGTTTTTCGCAGGGAGCCACCGTGACGAAGGCTATGAACTATTTTTAGTGGGGTTGACCAATCCTCGGTAGCAGCGCGGCAGAGGTGACATGCGTGACACGACCAGAACTGTCACAAAAGTTGAGACGACAGTGCTTTGCACATTCTGGGTTGTTTTTCTTCATTATTTCTGCAAGGTATGCATAGTGGTAGCTTTTGAGTACATTTGAGTTATGTGTAAACTATGTATTACTATACAATTTGGTCGTAAAGTGGTAATAACGTCTTTTTTGGCTGTTCGAACTGTAGATCATTCCGCAATTGCCTTATTGGGTTGCACAACGCGCGACAGATTTTCCC